GAAGATGAATATGAATATAAGCTTGTAAGTGCCAATTCTAGTGATGATGACAATTTACAGTATTCTCCTAGCAATTTAGACATATGGGGTTCCAAAATATTGAACACACGCTTTTTCAAACTTCCAGAAAATATAAAACTGTGAAAGTGTCATTTGTGCAATAAAATGTTTAGAAATGAAAATAGAGAAAGGAAACAAAATACAATTGATACCCTGCATACTTTTCATGGACTACCACACCCTGAAACACACCTAATACAATTAAAATAATATATACTAAAATTGTGCAATTTCCTTGTTACAGTGAAAAAACAAAAAAAAACAAAATAAAAAACTGAGAAAGAATTACTTAAAACACTAGTTCTATACAGCATTTTTGCAAGTGAGTTGTTAGACTACATATGTCAAACTTCAACATGCCATAAAAGGGAAAGTTTGTATTATTTTTCACTTTTGTTTCATATCTATTTTTTTTTTAACCACTACAATCTGCCCTCTGCCACTTTCATAGCTCCAACTTGTGAGTTACTGGTGCATATTCATCACTTCTGCACCACAAAAAATGCAGTGAGCTCTCAAAATTGCCTGTTTATGTGCTACCATACAGTACATACATTTTTTTATTTGCTGGAGATTACATCACATAATTGTGAAGTTTTACTAATTATGTGCAAGATGCATTGCTTTTCTAAAACAGATGAATGGATGATGCAAGTCTAAATCTACTTTTTTTACTTTTTTTTTTATTTAACACACCGGTTGTCTCCCACCGAGGCAGGGTGACCTGAAAAAGAAGAAACCAAAGTTTTTTCTTCTTTTTCCATTTAGTAATTTATACAGAAGGAGTTACTGGTCTCTTGCTCCCTCTAAATGTTTTTTATTTTTTTATTAACACACCTCTTGCCAGAGGTGTGCCTACACTACAGTTATAAAACTGCAACGTTACTGTAGTGTAAGCATGCCTCTAGCAAGACAGTGATGGAGTGAATGATGATGATGAAAGCTTTTCTTTTTCGGGCCACCCTTAGTGGGAAATGGCCAATGTGTTAATAAAAAATAAAAAAATATTTAGAGGGAGCAAGAGGCTCCCTCTAAATATACATACATATGACCATATAATTTTCAAGAACTTTTCACCCTTGATTTTTTTTTTATTTCATGATGCTACCTTTCATATTAGTCACCAGAATATAGTAGTAGCCAAGAATTATGCTTCTGATTATAAACACAACTAGCAAAATACTGTATCTGAAAAAGTAGTCAAGGCAGGCATCTGGCTCACCAGTCATCGCTTGAAAGTAGAGACCGGGATGTGTGGGGAAACCCACGTTAGTGGCCAAAACAAAAAAACAGAGACCCTCTGATGAATGGTGTTTCATAGATAACTAGGGATAGGTAGGAGCCAGAGGATTTTAAAATTAAGACAATTATTTGCTATATCAAGGATAGATAAATGAAGTTCAACTGTGTTACAACATACATTGCAATAAATATTATCCCCCTTATCACCAAAAGTACAGTATGCATATGATGTGACCTAAACCAGACACAGATATGTGTACTGGTTACAATGATAAGGCATGGCCTCACCTTATTAAGTGCATATGGTTATAAAGACAAGGGAAAAAAATACTGGGTGATACATAACTTTTCACAGGTTAATTCTTGCATTTTTCTTAGATGATTTAAGAAATTAAATTTACTACTATTGCAAGCATTAGTATTGTATTGCTAATCAAAAATAAACCACTCAACATATGGACACAGTAACAATCATATGTGTGCAAATAGTCCAGTACATTACAATACATGATAGGAAGGAATATGAGAATAATCCCCACTTAACCCTTTCAGGGTCAAGAGGCCCTCTCCTAAACTCATTCTCAGGGTCGAAAATTTTTCAGAAAAAAAAAAAATCATTTTTTCTTATGAAATGATAGAGAATCTTTTCCCGATCATAATGACACCAAAAGTATGAAATTTGATGGAAAACTTACGGAATTACGCTCTCACGAAGTTAGCAGTCTCGATGATGCTTACGCATCGGTGATTTCGCCCACTTTGAGCCCTATTTTCGGCCAATTCCAGTGTACTAGTCAACAAAAATCATATCTATTTCGCTAGAACTCCTATCGCATGAGTACAAGAAACCACCCATTTACTGATTTCAACTATCCAATAAAGTGGTCAGAAATAAAATTGGCAATTTTGCCAATTTCTGACCACTTGGCAATTTTGCCAATTTCACACAAATTTCAGAAGATGCCAATTTCCAAATAGGGTCCAGAATAAACAAGACAGACATTCCTGGCACTAAAATAACATTTTCTCTGTTCATTAGTCACATCCCCAGGCCCCTCTTACATCTCTTTTGCTTTCCACTTTGAATTTTTATTCTCACAAAAAATAGAAGATTTACTGTTATGCAGACTACTGCATTAGTGTGGAAATGTTGTAGAAATGGTATGAATATCAGCGCACTTGTGAAAGAATATCAGACTCGCCAGTTGATGTGTATTGGACGCTCGGCATGATTTGTTTACTTTTGAACTTTGGTAAAAATCGGACATTTCTGCTACTTTGAGCTCAATTTCAAGGTACTTTTCATTATGAAACCAATCAAAATCATCTTAATTTCTGTAACATGTCTTCCATTCTATAAAATGAGACCAGGAAAACTAGAATATAACCAAAAATACCATACAAAAATACACTGCAAAGTCGCTGTTTTAAACCAAAAACACGGTCGGAGTTTTTTTATTCTCATTATGCACTGTGTGCTGCAGGATTTTTTTTATACTGTGCACACTGACCACATAGACGCATTCTTTCATATGTAGGCCTACCAGCTTTCTCTCGCTAGATTTGAAGGCGCTAGAATTTAGGCGTACAAGTAAGTCAACAACCCTGGTGCGTAAGCTGTACTAGTACGTCGGAAACCTTGAAAGGGTTAATGACAGGCATGCATTCCACAAAAAAAAAAAAGTTGTATGGTACTGCTTATCAAAATGTTACACATTGGAACTTATTTTCTTTAAGTCTGTTATAAACGATACATAAAAATGCATTCCTGGATTTTTCAATAAAACTCATTACACTTAAATGTGCAATCACTATACAGGCACTCCTCACTTAACAACCAAGTTCTGTTCCTACAACTAGGTCATTAAGCAAAATGGTCAGTAAGCAAGAAGTATGCTGTAGGGGATGGTGGGTGTCTCTCAACCATCTTTAGATATTGTTTTAATGTCACCTTTGCACCATTTATAACATTTTTAGTACAGTGGTCCCTCAATAATCGTCCATAATTCGTTCCTGGAAGTGGGACTATTATCGAAATGGACGATTTACGAATCAATTTTCCCCATAAGAAATAATGTAAATTCAATTAATCCGTTCCTGACACCCAGAAGTATTAAAACAAATTTTTTTACATGAAATATACATGTAGTACATAAACAATACAATGGGAAATGATGAATGAAACATTAACAGCATAACACTTACCTTTATTGGAGATTCTTCTTAGTGTATGGGAGACTGGAGGAGGAGAGAGAGTGGACTGTTTATAGTTTGGAAGGGGAATCCCCTTCCATCAACACCTCGGGTACCAATTGCTTTTCTGGGGTTACTTCTCTTCTCTGTTTCTTAATGCCACTAGGACCACCTTGAGAGTCACTCGAGTCCTGTCTCGCAAAAAAACTGTCCAGAGAGCTCTGTTTTTGGCGTCTCTTTAAAACTTCCCTAAAATGCACATATTTTTCAGCCGCCTTGTGGTCCGAACTGGCAGCCTCACCATGCCTTACCACACTGTGTATGCTAGTACGCTTCTTAAATCTCTCAAACCAGCCTTTGCTGGCCTTAAATTCACTCACATCATCACTAGTTGCAGGCAATTTCTTTACCAAATCGTCATGTAACTGCCTAGCCTTTTCACAAATAAGCAACGTCATAAGACTATCTCCTGCTAATTGTTTCTCATTTATCCACACCAATAATAACTTCTCAACATCTTCGAGTACTGGTGATCTCATTTTTGTCAGCATATTTACCCCCTTTGCAACAACAGCATCCTTGATTTCCTTTTTCTTGGCTATGATGGAAGATATGGTTGTACGGGATTTGTTATACATCCTGGCCAGTTCGCCCACACGTACGCCGCTATCATATTGTTCAATGATGTTTTTCTTAAATTCAATCATATTTCTCACCTTCTTTACCAAAGGTTTGGCACTAGGAGCTTTCTTTGGAGCCATGGTACCTTATTTAGCACTTAAATAACTTGCAAGCACTAAAATAAATGAAATATGAAATATTTCGCTGGAGCACGTGAGGGGACCGTCACTCACTGGTAAACAATGGCACACTGGCTGGGAAGGAAAGGCCGAGGCGGCTCAGACCGTGAGTACGCGTCCAGGATGAAGGACTATTAGCGAGTTACCGGACCATTTCCAAGCCAATATTTTGACGAAAAAACAGGACTATTTCCGAAATGGACGACTTTCAGGCCGGACGATTATGGAGGGACCACTGTATATTTTTTAATCTTTATACAGTACATAGTGTACTGTATACTGTAGTAAACAGAATAGAGGAAATTAGCTCTAGGTTTGCATACTGGTCAGAGAGCTGGTCGTAAGTCCGAGCAGTTGTTAAACAGGTAGGTCGTTAAGTGAGGCGTGCCTGTATTACCCAAAATGGAAAAACCAAGAAATTAAATTATTATAATCAAAAAGAAGCACTAAACCTACCCGAGAAATTAAAATAATTTTCTAGTAAGGAGGCAAATGTACATTTTTATTAGTATTATTACAACAAACCCTCTAATTGAGGAAGGTGGATGGCCAATATTGGCATTTGTGGTGGATATGAAAAATATTATTTTCAGTGATTGTAACAATAATGAACAATTCTGAAACCAATAAACTTTATTCATTGTTGCCAAATATACTGGTCCAGCAGATTTTATTCAGTATTTTCAAAGTCCATTAAATGGAGGGTTTATTGTAATAATAATATTATTATTATTATTATTATTATTATTATTATAGCACTAACATCCTTCTCATCCTCTCCCAGCTTGTAGCAACTTCAAGTTAAATAAGCTGTCTTAGACTTGGTCTCTCCATGACCTTCCAATAACTCCACCACATTATCTACATCAATGGCCTTAAAGCAAACATTTTTAGTAATGAATACTATCCTTTAGTGAACTTCAAACTCTTTCCTGGAAACTACACATTTCATTGTGGCTACCTTTAATTCTTTTTAATTTGTAATTTTATTCATGATGTTACAGTGTACATAAAGTTCCTAATTGCTGGTTTATTTTCATCAGACTTAATTTGTTCAGTCAGCCTTCAAGCAAATGCCTGGAGTCCTAAATATCAATTATGAATAACACTCATGCTAAGAGGGATGTTTGGCTGGCTTTGGTTCATGATATAAATGAGTCACTCTCCAAAGTTTTTGCCATTATGAATACCAATACTCAATTTTAGGGAAGGGGTAAAGGAAGTTTTGTGGGCGAGGGGCTTGGACTTCCAGCAAGCTTGCCTGAGTGTGTTAGATAGGACTGAATGGAGACAAATGGTTTTTGGGACCTGACGAGCTGTCGGAGTGTGAGCAGGGTAATAATTTGTAAAGGGATTCAGGGAAACCAGTTTGCCGGACTTGAGTCCTGGAAATGGGAAGTACAATGCCTGCACTTTAAAGGAGGGGTTTAGGATATTCGCAGTTTGGAGGGACATCTAAACTGTTGTATCTGAGCGCCTCTGCAAAGACAGTGATTATGTATGAGTGATGATGAAAGTTTTTTTTCTTTCTTTTTGGGTTTTTCTTTCTTTCTGGGTCACCCTGCCTCAGTGGGAAACGGTCGACGTGTTAACAAAATTTTTTTTAAAATCAATCAATGCCTACCAAGTCGCAAGGTATACAGAAGTAAGATTAATGACAAGATAGGCCCACTTAAGAGTAACTCAGGTCAGATCACTGACAGTGATAAGGAAATGTGTGAACTTTTCAACACTTACTTCCTCTCAGTTTTTACTCTGGAAGATACTAGCGAAATTCCAGAAATAATAAATTATGTAGAACAGGATGACAATGAACTAGGCACTATTGGGGTAACTAGTGAGATGGTCCTCAGACAAATAGAGAAATTAAAACCTAACAAATTCCCAGGCCCTGATGAATTGTTTGCAAGGGTTTTAAAGGAATGTAAAGAGGAACTTAGCATACCTTTGGCTAATCTTTCCAATATATCACTACAAACTGGCATAGTGCCAGACAAGCGGAAAATGGCAAATGTAATACCTATTTACAAGGTAGGTGACAGGTCCTTAGCTTCAAGCAATAGATCAATAAGCCTTACCTCCATAGTGTTATAATTTATGGAATCAATTATTGCCAAGGCAATTCATAGCCACCTTGAAAGGCATAAATCTCAGCATGGTTTTACCAAGGGGCGTTCCTGTCTTACGAATTTACTAACTTTTTTCACTAAGGTATTTGAGGAGGTATAGGTAGTAGGTTGTAAGACAGCAACCACCCAGGGAGGTACTACTGTCCTAAGTGAGTGTAAAACGAAAGCCTGTAACTGTTTTACAAGATGGTAGGATTGCTGGTGTCTTTTGTCTGTCTCATAAATATGCAAGATTACAAGTACGTCTTGCTACTTCTACTTAAACTTAGGTCACACTACACATACATGTACAAGCATATACACACACACCCCTCTGGGTTTTCTTCTATTTTCTAGTTCTTGTTCTTGTTTATTTTCTCTTACCTCCATGGGGAAATGGAACAGAATTCTTCCTCTGTAGGCTATGTGTGTTGTAAGAGGCAACTAAAATGCCAGGAGCAAGGGGCTAGTAACCCCTTCTCCTGTATATATTACTAAATGTAAAAGGAGAAACTTTCGTTTTTACTTTTGGGCCACCCCGCCTCGGTGGGATACGGCCGGTGTGTTGAAAGAAAGATTTGAGGAGGTTGATCATGGTACTGAACATGATATTGTGTATATGAACTTCAGTAAGGGTTTCAATAGTTCCACAACAGAGGCTATTGAGGAAACTTAAGGCATACGGAATAGGAGAAATTTTTTCCTGGGTAGAGGCATGGTTGATAAATAGGCAGCAGAGAGTTTGCATAAATGGGAAGAAATCAGAATGGGGGCACGCCACAAGCGGTGTTCCACAGGGGTCAGTGATGGCTCCCTTGTTGTTCACAATTTACATAAACGACATGGATGAGGGAATAAATAGCGACATAAGCAAATTTGCTGATGACACCAAAACAGGCCATCCAATTCATTTTAATGAGGACATCAGAGAACTCCAGGATGATTTGAGTAGACTGATGCAGTGGTCAGAAAAGTGGCAGATGCAATTTAATATAGACAAATGCCAAGTTCTAAATGTTGGCAGGAAAATAACCATGCCACATATAAACTAAATAATGTAGATCTTAATATTACTGATTGCAAAAATAATTTAGAAGTTCTGGTTAGCAGTAATCTGAAATCAAGACAACAATGCATAAGTGTTTGCAATAAAGCTAACAGAATCCTTGGCTTCATATCAAGAAGTATAAATAATAGAAGTCCTCAGGTTGTTTTTCAACTCTATATCTTTGGTTAGGCCTCATTTAGATTATGCTGCTCAGTTCTGGTCACCGTAATACAGAATGGATATAAATGCAATGGAAAACGTAGAGAGGAGGATGACAAAATTGATCCCATGTATCATAAATCTTCCCTGTGAGGATAGACTGAGGGCCCTGAATCTGCACTCTCTAGAAAGGCATAGAATTTGGGGGGATATGACTGAATATTATGCAGAAAATTCGGAGTGTGGAAATTAGGAGAAGGTGTGGAGTTAATAAAAGTATTAGTCAGAGGGCTGAAGAAGGGTTGTTGAGGTGGTTTGGTCATTTAGAGAGAATGGATCAAAGCAGAATGACATGGAGAGCATATAAATCTGTAGGGGAAGGAAGGCGGAGTAGGGGTCATCCTCGAAAAGGTTGGAGGGAGGGGGTAAAGGTTTTGTGGGCGAGGGGTATGGACTTCCAGCAAGCGTGCATGAGCATGTTAGATAGGAGTAAATGGAGACGAATGGTATTTGGGACCTGACGAGCTGTTGGAGTGTGAGCAGGGTAATATTTAGTGAAGGGATTCAGGGAAATAGGTTATTTTTATATAGCCAGACTTGAGTCCTGGAAATGGGAAGTACAATGCCTGCACTTTAAAGGAGGAGTTTGGGATATTGGCAGCTTGGAGGGATGTGTTGTGTATCTTTATATGTATATGCTTCTAAACTGTTGTATTCTGAGCACCTCTGCAAAAACAGTAATTATGTGTGAGTGAGGTGAGAGTGTTGAATGATGATGAAAGTATTTTATTTTTCTGGATTTTCTTTCTTTTTGGGTCACCCTGCTTCGGTGGGAGATGGCCGATTTGTTAAAAAAAAAAAAAGATTGAGGTGTATAAACGGAAAACAGGAATAAATAAAGGGGATGTAAATAGGGTGCTAAAAATATCTAGCCTAGACAGGACTTGCAGTAATGGCTTTAAGCTGGAAAAATTCAGATTCAGGAAGGATATAGGAAAGCACTGGTTTGATAATAGAGTTGTGGATGAGTGGAACAAACTCCCGGGTACCGTCACAGAAGCCAAGACGTGTAATTTTAAAAATAGGCTAGATGAATACATGAGTGGGTGTGAGATGGACCTGACTAACTTTGCTACTAGGTTTGATGCTGTGCTCCTTCCTTAAGTGAATGTGACATGACCTGACTAGGTTAGGGGGTTGGCTTAAGCCAGTAGGAGAATTGGACCTGCCTTGCATTGGCCAGTAGGCCTGCTACAGTGTTCCTTCTTTCTTATGTTCTTAATATGCTAATGATACCATCAGAATTAGTCGATACCCACCAATACTTTGCCACACCCATAGTTAATACAAATACGAAGCACTTGCTGTCAGTTTCTCACTCAAAGGAGAATGACCAAGAACTACTGAGGCAACACCTAGGTTCCCTGTATCGCTGATCAAATGTAAAATAGCCATTTTTTATGTTAAAACAAGTGATCTTTCCCAAAGTATTTACATCACTGCAAACCTTATCGTACAGTGCCTTTTAATACCTCAATGACCAAGATAAAAATGTATAACACTGAAGCAAAATGAAAAAAATACCCTTGAATATTCCAAGGTATTTTTCAATGCCTTAAAACAAAATAAAAAGTAATGACTAGGTCATGATACTTCACAGACATCTAGTATGAGTCTGTAAATGAATGGCATACAATGCTGACAAGATGAAGAATTAGACACATGTGACATCTGGGTATCTTTACTTGTACAAGTTTTGCCATCCAGTGGCTTTATCAATACAATACCTTCTTGCATACTCCTGGCCCATCCCTTGGGGATAAAATATTTTTTTCCTTTTTTCAGACTTATGGCACAGAAGTGGCTTTCAATTTGAAGAGTTTGGACAGCTTAAAAGTTAATGGACGCAATAAAAACTTTGTCAGAACTGCTTCACAAGGACTCACACTTGTGTAACAAACACTAGGAAATCCTGCCTACCAGTGAAAATGCCTTTGTCTGGTGTACGTCCCTCATCTGATGCCAGAACGTATATAAGTGCCAATTTTCTGCCTGTGCTCTAGATTCAAGACTACGATGCTCTTCACCAACTCCATGGGTGAAGTACTGATTACCTCATCTTTTGTATATACAGTGGACCCCCGCCTTACAATATTATTTCATTCCAGAAGTATGTTCAGGTGCCGTTACTGAACGAATTTGTTCCCATAAGGAATATTGTGAATTAGATTAGTCCATTTCAGACCCCCAAAAATACACGTACACAAGCACTTACATAAATACACTTACATAATTGGTCACATTGGGAGCTGATCGTAAGGCGGGGGTCCACTGTAGTTCTACAATCTTCACATTAAGTCCTTGTATTGATAAACCCAATGGATGGCAAAATGTCTACAAATAAAGATACCCAGATGTCGCATGTTTCTAATTCTTCAGTGTGAGCTCTGCTACCAACCACTGGTCACATACGATACAATAATTTTCATACCCTATACCAAAACCAACGGTGTTGTTAGCTCAGTTATATTTCAGCTGTCTCAAAGAATATCAAAATGTCATACTGTACATCAAAGCTTCAAAGAGTAATTACCCATATACATTACAGTTTGCAATAATGGGATAGCAAATTTAAACAAATCGTATACCAACATATTGTTGCAGTATGAATAAAATTTGTAATGGTTTACTCTGCTCTTCTCTCTAGTTATGCTTTAAAAATTTGTGCCTAATATTTTATGTACAATATCAAAGGTAGTCAAGGAAATTGCTTACAGTACTATACTTAACTATATGTGGTTGCAGGGGTCGATTCACAGCTCCTGGCTGTATTTTTCCATTTTATTTTTTTTGCCGTAAGAACAGGGCATGCTGTACTGTACAAAAATGTATTTAATCATGCAGGAAATAACAGCTTTTTTCATATGCATACTGTACTAAACAATTTAAAGTTTAACTAAGAAAACCATAATTGTAATACAATTAATTAAGCTGCTGTACATCTGTATCAGATGAAGTTTATAATACTGACTAATAATAATGACTAGAACATAAGCAAAAACCATCAAAAACTTTTCATAATATTAAACAAAAGCAATAATACAGTATAATTACCTTCTATATTGCCTCTTAGCTTTGTAAACGATGGCCATGTAAATAACATTCAATGTACTTGTACACACTAAATATTTCTTACACCTAAATTAGGTGTACTATTGTATAATAAAATGACTTGCAATGGAGACTAGACAATGTAATACACTGTATTTGAATGCAATTAAAATGACTAGATGAATGAATAAATGATAATACTCATTATAATCCTAAACAATGATGCAGTCTTGCTAAAATATAACAATACTATTCCTAATTTGATTTCAGTAATGTCATTTAATCATATAAATATCTGAAGATGACCAGCAAGTCCAAGGAATTTACAAAAACTTGGAAATGGTGAAAGTTTGTTTTACAAGTTAAAAGAAGAAAACATAAAAAGAATTTGTCTTTTACAAATAAGCAACCAGAAAATTCCTTTTAGCAACAGCAAATTTGACAGAGAATGATATGACACTTACAAGTTTTTCTCTTTTGGACGGAATGCAATCACATTGCTTATTTTCACTGGTCCCTGGGATATGCAGAGGGGTTTCACAAGAGTCAACATTTTGTGTGTGAAAAATTGGCCTTGTGATACATATGTAAATATTTTCTCTATATAAAACAAATATTAACTAATAACTACCAAAAAATTTGAACACAATTGGCTATCACTTCAAACAAATACACAACTAGCACTTAAATATAATGACTAATAATACTCTTCACACTAGCATTATATCCTTCAAGGCTTGCTTAATACCTGTATTTTAATTCATATTCAGTGTAATGCATTTCTACAATTTCAAACTAATATGAGCAATTTATTCAAATGTGTGTGTTTATATATTGAGTATATATTATACTTCCTCTATATACACAAGGAAAATTCACTGATATGCAAATTCTATTTAAACAAGAAAAGGGAAAATGTCATTCAGACATCTGTGGCCCTTGTGCTCAAAACAAACATGTACAGTAATAACCGAACATTTTGTGCTATCCTGAGTCAGCTGTACTTCAAATCGATCATCTAAAGGTCATATGTAGGAAACGTGATTTATGGTAACAACATATATTAGTCAAAGATCTGAGAGTCAGACTTGCAGACAAAGCTGTACAGAAGACTCACAATTCATGCATCCGTAACTAGTGTCATCAATAACTCACTATTTAAAATTCTGTTCCCAAGACCAAGAAACATCCACAAGGCCATTATTTTAGAGGAAGGCCTAACTTCACTCCTTGGTGTAAACACCCACCCATGCTGTCCCATTCCATTCTTGTGTGTTTATCAGTCCATTTTCAATCTTTTCATTATCCTGTCTCATCTTCAAATATTAACCATGGCACCTAAAAGGAATACTATTAATGCTGACAATGCCAAGAAGAAAATTAGGCATAAAACTAAGCCTATTTCATAAAACACTCTCAGTGACTGATATGCCGAAGGGTGGCACACGAGTCCCAGAGACAGTGCAAACATATGGTGTTAGAGAATCAGCAATTTATTAAATTTGAGAATGACATGAAGAAAAGACCTTATGCAATAAGTAATCCACAATATGACAATGAAAAGAATGGCAAAGAGGACCGATAGCTTTATAAGAAAGAAAAATCACCGAGTGTGTAGACTGAGCAGAAAAAGAACAGTACCTCAATGCGCTTATGATCATGGTAAAAACCCATCTTACTATAAAACAGCAAAGCCAGGACACAGAGCCTGCAAAACATAGTTTGTTCACTTCTGGATGGTTTTTTAAGTTTTAAGAAGTACAGCAGGCAGAATAAATGTCAGATGGGAAGATGCATCTGCTGATCATGTGGCTACAGGAAATTTCCTTGTGGAACTGCAGGAAATTATTTCTAAGGATGACTATAAGCCTGAGCAAGTATTCAGTGCTGACAAGACTGGCATATTCTGAAAGGCCTGGTACTGTAGTGCCACAACTATCCTCTCCACTCAAAGATTATGCACTAGAAACTAGACTAAGATCAAAAAATTTTTATGAAACTTTTTTTTTAGCTATTGTATATGTACTCTTCTACTGTCTAAATTTCACTACTGTACAGGCATTGTACTAGGCCATATCAACTACAATATTAAGTAAGAAAAGCTAGGAAATTAAGAAAGCTTGTTTGGGTTTTTAGAGGTGTCAAGAACACAGCCTTACAGAATTGGTTTCTCCCTTCTTCAACATCATACCTACTGTTGAACAGTGTACTGAATATATCTCTACCATGTCCTCATCCAACTGATTCTGCTTTCAACCACTCTCAAACTAAAGAAATACCTAACATCTCATTCCCTGTGACTCATCTACATTTTCAGCTTCCAAGTGTCTGCTTGTTCCTAGTTTTCTTCAAATACTACAATCTATCAATTCCTCCTAAAACTTAGTATATCATAATAACATCACCCCAGAACAACAAGTCCTTTTGCCAAAGAAAAAAGTAGGAGAATAGAGAGAAAAGGAAAAAAGGGAAAAGAAGGTACACAGTGTGTGTGAGGAAAGGGGACAGAGTGTAGGAACAAGTGAGAGGGTATTTGTGTGTGTTAGTAGTAAAAGAAGCAGAGTTAAGCTGGGTGTTCTGTCTTCATTGTTAAGGTTATCAAATCTGTAAGTTTTCAGTGTGTGTGTGTGTGTGTGTGTGTGTGTGTGTGTGTGTGTGTGTGTGTGTGTGTGTGTGTGTGTGTGCGTGTGCGTGTGCGTGTGCGTGTGCGTGTGCGTGTGCGTGCATATGTATGCATATGTAAGCACACAAATATGCCTAAAAGCTGGTAGTGAAACATTAAAGAACTCAGTAAAGCAGTAGAGCTCAGTGCTTACTTGACATGTTTTACTTAATCTAGTAAAATAAAATATTCAACAGATTTTCTGTTTAAATAATAATAATACTGAATTGCATATCCCAAATTAGTGTAACTTGGAATACAATACAAAACAATTTAAAAAAATAAACTTGATGTTTTTTGTGTGTCAGTAATAGGGTTTTTATTGACTACCATAAATTATCTAGAAATATATTGACACCCATCAAAGACATAAATTATTTGCAATTATTACTGTAAAACTGAGCAATGTTCTTTCCAAATAATGGTACAGTAACAAATATTCACAATATAAATACACACACAAGCAATATACACCAGATTTTTGTAGCATTTATTTGAGGCACTTTCTATATTTAACGAGGCAAATACAATTTTCCATGTGTTAGTGCTACATACCAGCAATATAACATTTCCCTATCTTGACAATCTGAAGTATAATTAGCAGTAACACACTTTGTGACCCATAATGCCACATCAGTGGAACCTAAACTACGACAGAATAAAATGTAAGTAATGTACCAGTAAATATCCAGTGAACACCAAGTCTCACATTCTTGGTTTGAAATATAATCAGATGTAAAATATGATACACTGGTACTGTGCTACATTTTGGAATGGTTTATTGGGAAGGTTAGAATACATTACTTGAATGTTGCCCTCAAAATAAAATGCCATAATTCATTTAATTTTGTATGGAGTACATTAATAGTACAGCATGAATATTCATTATACTAAAATGAAAAAAACTATATACAAAACTAAAAACCTAATACCTGTAACTTAAAAGTGTAAGCATACCTTTTAAGTTGATTTCCCACTAAACCTAAAAATGTTATGATTTAGTGCATCAGTCAATTCTTTTTCCTAACACAAGTTCATGCGGCAGTTGGACGGAATACATCACATTCTAGAGGAAGCAACAGATCTCACTTCTTCTTGAGATTCTTACACACCCAATCTAAGCCATCCTGTAAAAGAACAAATAGTCAGTGTTTGCTGAACATTAACCATCGCCATTTCCCATCAAGGCAGTATACCAAGTAATTAACATATTAACCGCCTTTCATTCTATATCAAATAAATGTCTTCCCAAGCGATTTGAACTGCAACAGTTTTTCATGTTAAGAGTCCAATATATAGGAAATATCTGAATTATTTTATGAAAAAGAGGATAAGTATACAAGGTATGATATAGCACGTAATGAAAGTAGTATGTTATATTATGTACCGGTGGATAAAAGGTTGATGGATAGGCTTGAGAATGTCCACGTTTATAGAGAGCCAATGGATATATCGGATCATTACTTAGTTGTAGTTACAGTTAGAGAAAGAAGTAGATGGGACAAAAGAAAAATGGCAACAGCAAGTGAGAGAGAGGTAAAAGTTTATAAACTCAGGGAGAAGTTAGGGTGAGATATAAGCAACTATTGGCAGAAAGGTGGGCTAGTGCAAGTATAGGTAGGGGGAGGGGGGTTGAAGAGGGATGGGATAGTTTTAAAAATGCAGTGTTAGAATGTGGGGCAGAAGTTTGTGGCTACAGGAGGGTGGGTGCAGGAGGAAAGAGGAGTGATTGGTGGAATGATGAGGTAAAGGGTGCAATAAAAGAGAAAAAGGTAGCTTATGAGAGGTTTTTACAAAGCAGAAGTGATGGGGAGCTGGAGGTATTGGGAAGATTGTAGGAATATTTTGAAGAACTTTTAAATGATGATGAAGAAAGGGAGGCAGTAATTTCATGCACTGGACAAGGAGGAATAACATCTTTTAGGAGTGAAGAATTGCAGGCTGTGAGTGTGGGGGAGGTGCATGAGGCATTATGTAGAATGAAAGAGGATAAAGCAGCTGAAACGGATGGGATCATGACAGAAATGTTAAAAGCAGGGGAATGATGTACTGTTGGAGTGGTTAGTTTTTTGTTTAATAAATGCATGAAAGTGGGAAAAGTACCTAGGGATTGGCAGAGAGCATGTATAGTTCCTTTATATAAAGGGAATGGGGACAAGAGAGAGTGTAAAAATTACAGGGGAATAAGTTTACTGAGCATACCAGGTAAAGTGTATGGTAGGATTATTATTGAAAGAATTAGAGGTAAGACAGAGAGCAAGATTGCGGATGAGCAAGAAGGCTCTAGAATGCGTAGGGGATGTGTAGATTAAGTATTTACACTGAACCATATATGTGAACAGTATTTAGATAAAGGAAGGGAGTTATCATTGCATTTATGGATTTAGAAAAGGCATGAGATATAGTGGATCGGGGAGCAATGTGGCAGATGTTGCAAGTGTATGGAATAGGTAGTAAGTTACTAAATGCTGTAAAGAGCTTTTATGAGGATAGTGAGGCTCAGGTTAGGGTGTGTAGGAGAGAGGGAGATTACTTCCCAGTAAAAGCGAGTCTTAGACATAGATGTGTATGTCACCATGGCTGTTTAACATATTTATAGATGGGGTTGTAAAAGAAGTAAATGCTATGCTAGGGTGTTGGGGAGAGGGGTGGGATTAAATTATGGAGAATAAAATACAAAATGCGAATTGACAGTTACTTTTTGCTGATGATACTGTGGTTTTGGGAGATTCTAAAGAAAAGTTTTAAAGGTTAGTGGACAAGTTTAGGAGGATGTGTAAAGGTAGAAAGTTGAAAGTAAGAGTAAGGTGATGAGGGTAACAACCGATTTAGGTAAAGAAAAACTGAATATCACATTAGAGGGAGGGAGTATGGAAGAAAGTGAATGTTTTCAGATATTTGGAAGTTGACTTGTCAGTGGATGGGTTTATGAAGGATGAGGTTAACCATAGAATTGATGAAAGAAAAAAGGTGTGTGGTGCACTGAGGTATCTGTAGAGAAAAAAAAAATGTTATCCAGGGAGGCAAAGAAGGGAATGAATGAGAGCATAGTGGTACTAACACTCTTATATGGGTGTGAAGGATGGGTTGTAAATGTTGCAGCGAGGAGGAGTCTCGAGGCAGTGGAGATGTCGTGTCTAAGGTGTGTGGTGTAAATATTATACAGAGAATTTATAGTGTGGAAATTAGGAGGAGGTGTAGAGTTACTAAAAGTATTAGTCAGAGGGCTGAAGAGGGGTTGTTGAGGTGGTTTGGTCATTTAGAGAGAATGGAACAAAGTAAAATGACTTGGAGAGCGTACAAATCTGTAGGGGAAGGAAGATGGGATAGGGGTCATCTTCGAAAAGGTTGGAGGGAAGGGGTAAAGGAGGTTTTTTGGGTGAGGGACTTGGACTTCTAGCAAGCACACGTGTGTTAGACAGGAGTGAATGGAGCCGAATGGTTTTTGGGACCTGATAAACTGTTGGAGTGTGAGCAGGGTAATATTTTATGAAGGGATTCAGTAAAACCGGTTAACAGGACATAAGTCCTGGAAGTGGGAAGTATAATGCCTGCACTTTAAAGGAGAGGTTTGGGATATTGGCAGTTTGAAGGGAAATCTAAACTGTTGTATCTCAGTGCCTCTGCAAAGACAGTGATTATGTATGAGTGATGGTGAAAATGTTGAATGATGAAAGTTTTTTCTTTCTTTTTCGTATTTTTTTCTTTCTTTTTGGGTCACCCTGCCTCAGTAGGAAATGGCCAACGTGTTAAAAAAAATCTGACTTCTTCATTGTGGGGGGTTTACTTGAGACAAAGGGGATCTGTAATTAATATGTATGGTTTTGAGGCAGTTGTTATATTGTAACTGAACATTTACATGTTGCTGAGAATCTTCCAAAAAGTAGAAAAGTATCTCCTCAAGCTTAATGCCATAAAAGCGAGATTTTTTTTTCAAGTTTTCTGATTTACATTCAGTTTGAATTTCCCTACAATCCTGAAAGAAAAATTTGATTTTTATTTAAAAAAAATCCAATTTCATGAAATTAGAAAAAAAAAAGAAGTCAAATTAACAGCCAGACAACTTAAAATTAATAGAAAAATGCTTTCAATTAAGATATACAGTGGTCCCTCGCCTAACGAACGCATCGCATAACGTTAAATCCACCTAGCGATACATTTTAACGCAAAAATTTTGCCTCGGCTAGCGCTAAAAAACTCGCTCAGCACAATTCGTTCGAGACGCATCCACGTGCGGCCTGAGCCCACCTCACTTATTCCGTGGGTGCCAGTGTTTACAAGCCAGCCACTGCGGTCGCTTCCAAGCATACAATCGGAACATTTCATATTATCACAGCCTTTTTAGTGATTGCACCTGCAAAATAAGTCACCATGGGCCCCAAGAAAGCTTCTAGTGCCAACCCTACAGCAAAAAGGGTGAGAATTACTATGAATATGAAGAAAGAGATCATTGCTAAGTATGAAAGTGGAGTGCGTGTCTCCGAGCTGGCCAGGTTGTACACAAAACCCCAATCAACCATCACTACTATTGTGGCCAAGAAAACGGAAATCAAGGAAGCTGTTCTTGCCAAAGGTGCAACTTTGTTTTCGAAACAGAGATCGCAAGTGACAAAAGATGTTGAGAGACTGTTATTGGTGTGGATAAATGAAAAACAGATAGCAGGAGATAGCATCTCTCAAGCGATCATATGTGAAAAGGCTAGGTAGTTGCATGACGATTTAATTAGAAAAATGCCTGCAACTAGTGGTGATGTGAGTGAATTTAAGGCCAGCAAAGGTTGGTTTGAGAGATTTAAGAATCGTAGTGGCATACAGTGTGATAAGGCATGGTGAGGCTGCCAGTTCGGACCACAAAGCGGCTGAAAAATATGTGCAGGAATTCAAGGAGTACACAGACAGTGAAGGACTGAAACCTGAACAAGTGTTTGTGACGAAACAGGCCTGTTTTGGAAGAAAATGCCAAGCAGGGCCTACATTACTCAGGAGGAAAAGGCACTCCCAGGACATAAGCCTAAGAAAGATAGGCTTACTCTGTTGATGTGTGCTAATGCTAGTGGTGATTGCAAAGTGAAGCCTTTATTGGTGTATCACTCTGAAACTCCCAGAGTGTTCAGGAAAAACATTGTCCTCAAGGCTAATTTGTGTGTGCTGTGGAGGGCAAACAGTAAGGCATGGGTCACTAGGGATTTTTTCTATGTGAAAAATTACCTAATTGAAAAGAAATTAGACCTTAAGTGCCTCCTGGTATTAGACAATGCTCCTGGTCATTCTTCAGACATGGCAGAGCGACTTTCTGTGGAAATGAGCTTCATTAAGTTCAAGTTTTTGCCTCCTAATACCACTCCTCTCCTGCAGCCCATGGACCAGCAGGTCATTTCCAACTTCAAGAAACTGTACACAAAAGCTATGTTTGAAAGGTGCTTTGTAGTGACCTCAGAAACTCAATTGACTAAGAGAGTTTTGGAAAGATCACTTTAGCATCCTCAATTGTGTAAACATTATAGGTAAGGTTTGGGAGGAAGTGACTAAGAGGACCTTGAACTCTGCTTGGAAGAAACTGTGGCCAGAATGTGTAGACAAAAGGGATTTTGAAGGGTTTGAGGCTAACCCTGGGAATCCTATGCAGTTGAGGAATCATTGTGGCACTGGGGAAGTCTTGGGGTTGGAGGTTAGTGGGGAGGATGTGGAAGAGTTGGTGGAGGAGGACAATGAAGAACTAACCACTGATGAGCTGCTAGATCATCTTCAACAGCAAGAGGCCACACCTGAGGAAACTGCTTCGGAGGAGGGGATAGAGAAATTGAAGAAGTTGCCTACTTCAAAGATTAAGGAAATGTGTGCAATGTGGCTTAAAGTGCAAACCTTTTTTGATGAAAATCACCCTCACACAGCTATTGCAAGCCGTGCTGGTGGCTATTACACTGACAATGTTGTGAAACACTTTAGGAATGTCATAAAGGAACGGGAGGTACAGGCCTCTATGGACAGATATGTTGTGCAACAGAGGTCCAGTGACTCTCAAGCTGGTCCTAATGGCATTAAAAGAAGGGAAGTAACCCCGGAAAAGGACTTGCCATCTCAAGTCCTAATGGAAGGGGATTCCCCTTCTAAACATTAACACCATCCACAGTCTCCCCTCCTCCCATCCCATCAATCATCACCAGATCTTCAATAAAGGTAAGTGTCATGTAACTGTGCATGTCTTCAGTTTGTGTGTATTAAAATTAATATTTCATGCGGTAAAAAATTTTTTTTGTTCGTACTTTGGGGTGTCAGGAACGGATTAATTTGATTTCCATTATTTCTTATGGGAAAAATTAATTTGGCTAATGATAATTTCGCCTAACGTTGAGCTCTCAGGAACGGATTAATAGCGTTAGGCGAGGGTCCACTGTACCTATATTTAGGGTTTGAAGCTGATCAGAAGAGGCATTCTCTAATTATTACATAGGAAACTTATTACAGTACTCAATAAAATTAGCAAACTGAAACTGACACAACTCAGAGTGATTGAATTTCCCCCATAGGGATATCTAATAAAACCAAATACAGTGGTCCCTCGTTTTTCGAAGTTAATCGGTTCCTGGAGTTGCTACTATTATCGAAATCTATGATTTGCGAATCAATTTTCCCCATAAGAAATAATGTAAATACAATTAATCCGTTCCTGACACCCAGAAGTATTAAAACAAAAAATTTTTTTACATGAAATATAGATGTAGTATTTGTTTTTTATTTATTTATTTTATAATTTGAACATACATACAGAGGTACAAAAAAATACAGGTAAGAGCAGCATGCCAAAGCCACTTGTATGCATAGCATTACGGGCAGGTTTAAAATTAACTTAAGATTAACTAAGCAATGATGTAATCAGTGATAAAACATTATTGTAAACTGATAACATTAAAGCACAAATGAGTATTACAAAGACAGGTCATATGGTTGCATGCATTGCTGTACATTCAGTAGAATGAAGTATTCTGTTAGGTAGTGTATTTACAAAATAACAAAGTTAGATTGGGTCTTTGGTTTAACATTTATGTGATAAAATTGTGAGAAACATTTAAGATATACAATTTATAAGGTTTAGTTATTCAGTATTTATTTGGTTTTGGGTGAGTAAGTGATCTTTGAGAAGAGACTTGAATTTATAAACAGGTAGTGTTTCTTTTATATTTACATGTAATGAATTCCAGATTTTAGGGCCTTTTATGTGCATTGAGTTTTTGCATAGCGTGAGATGGACATGAGGAACATCAAAGAGTGATCTGTGCCTTGTGTTATGGTCATGTGCTCTGTTGAGGTTGGCAAGGAGATGTTTGAGGGGAGGGTTAATATCAGAGTTAAGTGTTCTATGTATGTAATAGGTGCAGTAATAAGCATGGATGTTTTGTATGGTGAGTAGGTTTAGTGTTTTGAATATTGGTGGAGTGTGCTGCCTGTAGTGGGAATTTGTTATCATTCTGACTGCAGCCTTTTGTTGGGTAATTAGTGGTCTGAGATGGTTAATTGTTGTTGAGCCCCATGCACAAATTCCATAGGTGAGATTGCGGTAAATAAGAGAGTGATATAGGGCCAGGAGGGCTGACTGTGGAACATAGTACCGTATCTTCGATAGTATGCCTACGGTCTTGGAAATTTTCTTAGAAATTTATTGTATATGTGTATGAAATTTGAGTCTATTATCAAGGTGGATTCCTAAGAATTTTACATAAACAATACAATGGGAAATGATGAATGAAACATTAACAGCATAACACTTACCTTTATTGGAGATTCTTCTTAGTGTATGGGAGACTGGAGGAGGAGAGAGATTGGATTGTTTACAGTTTGGAAGGGGAATCCCCTTCCAGCAACACCTCAGGTACCAATTGCTTTTCTGGGGTTGCTTCTCTTCTCTGTTTCTTAATGCCACTAGGACCACCTTGAGAGTCACTGAGTCCTGTCTCGCAAAATAACTGTGGAGAGAGCTCTGTTTCTGGAGTCTCTTTAACACTTCCCTAAAATGGCCCAAGACTTTGTCACTGTACATGTTGCCAACATGGCTTGCAACAACTTTGTCAGGGTGATGTTTCTCCATAAAGCTTTCCATCTTATCCCACATAGCAAAAATCTCTTTAATTTCTGAAGAAGGCACCTTCTTCCATCTCTCTTCCTCCTCCTCTGCAGCAAGATTCTGAGCTGCGATCTGTTGCTGTTCCTGCTGAAGCTCTTGCAGCAGGAACAGCAACAGCGTCCTTGATTTCCTTTTTCTTGGCCACTATGGAACATATGGTTGTGTAGGGTTTCTTATACATCTTGGCCAGTTCGGCCGCACTTGTGCCACTTTCATATTGTTCAATGATGTTTTTCTTCAATTCAATCGTATTTCTCACCTTCTTTACCACAGGCTTGGCACTAGGAGCTTTCTTTGGAGCCATGGTAGCTTATTTAGTACTTGCAAGCACTAAAATGAGTGGATTATGAAATATTTCGTAGGAGCACGTGAGGGGACCTTCGCTCACTGGTAAACAATGCCAGACTGGCTGGGTAGGGAGGCCGCCCCGGCTCACACCATGCGTACGCGTCCCGGACGAACTACTATTCGCGAGTCAACCTATGATTAGCGAGCTCATGTTTATACGAAAATATCCCTATGATTTCCAAAATCTATGATTCCCGAGAACTACGAAAAGCAAGGGACCACTGTACTACAGTGGACCCCCAGCATTCAGTGGCATCGGTATATGTTAAATCCGGTATTCGATACATTTTAACGCAAAAATTTTGCCTTGCCACTCGTTAAAAAACCCACCACACGCAATTCATCCGGGACGCGTCCACGTGAGTGCCAGTGTTTACAAGCCAGCCAGTGTGCTCGCATCTAAGCATACATTCGGTACATTCCATATTATCACAGTGTTTTTGGTGGTTGTTTCTGCAAAATAAGTCACCATGGGCCCCAAGAAAGCTTCTAGTGCCAACCCTGTGGTAAAAAGGGTGAGAATTAGTATGGAAATTAAGAAAGATTTTGAAGGGTTTGGGGCTAACCCTGAGAAGCCTATGCCAGTTGTGGAATCCAGTGTGCCTACTTCAAAAATTAAGGAAATGTGTGCAAAGTGGGTTGAACTGCAAACCTTTATGGATGAAAATCACCCTAACACAGCTATTGCAAGCCGTGCTGGTGACTATTACAATGGCAATGTTGTGGCCCATTTTAGACAAATCATAAAGGAACGGGAGGTACAGAGCTCTATGGACAGATTTGTTGTGCGACAGAGGTCCAGTGACTCTCAAGCTGGTCCTAGTGGCATTAACCCTTTGAGGGTCGACAGGCCCTCTCCGAAACTCGTTCTCAGGGTCGGCCAAATTTAAAAAAAAAAAATTATTTTCTCTTGTGAAAGGATAGAGAATCTTTTCCCGATCATAAAGACACCAAAAGTTTGAAATTTGATGGAAAACTTACGGAATTATGCTCTCGCAAAGTTAGCGGTCTCGGCGATGTTTACGCATCGGCGATTTTGCCCACTTTGAGCCCCATTTTCGGCCAATTCCACTGTACTAGTCGACAAAAAACATGAATATTTCGCTAGAACTCCATTTTGTCTATCGAATGGGTGCAAGAAACCACCCATTTATGAAATTCAACTATCCAGTACAGTGGTCAGAATTTAGCAATTTTGCCAATTTCACACAAATTTCAAAAGATGCCAATTTCAGAATAGGGTCCAGAATAAACAAGAAAGACATTCCTGGCACTAAAATGACATTTCCTCTGGTCATTAGTCACGTCTCAAGGCCCCTCTTATATTCTTTTGCTTTCCGCTTTGAATTTTTATTCTCAGAAAAAATATAAGATTTACTGTTATGCAGACTACTGCATTAGTGTAAAAAATGGTATAAATATTATTGGCGCACTGGTGAAAGAATATTAGACTCACCAGTTGACGTGTATTGCACGCTTGGCACGATTTGTTTACTTTTGAAATTTGGTAAAAATCGAACATTTCTGCTACTTTGAGTTCAATTTCAAGGTACCTTTCATTGTAAAACCAGTCAAAATCATCTCAATTTCTGTAATATGTCTTCCATTCTATAAAATGAGACCAAGAAAACTAGAATACAACAATAAATACCATACGAAAATACAGTGCAAAGTCGCTGTTTTATTCCAAAAAAATGGTCAAAGTTTTTTTTTTCTCATTATGCACTGTGTGCTGCAGGATTTTTTTTAGACTGTGCACACTGACCACATAGACCCATTCTTTCATATGAAGGCCTACCAGCTTTCTCCCACTAGATTTGAGGGCGCTAGAATTTAGGCGTACTAGTACGTCAAAAACCCTGGGTCGTAAGCCGTACTAGTACGTCCGAAACCCTCAAAGGGTTAAAAGAAGAGGGGAAGTAACCCCTGAAAAGGACTTGCTACCTCAAGTCCTAATGGAAGGGGATTCCCCTTCTAAACATTAACAACTTCGACACTCTCCCCTCCTCCCATCCCATCAATAATCACCAGATCTTCATTAAAGGTGTCATGTATTCTATTGTTAGTAGAGTACTACTAACTGTGCATGTCTTCTTCAGTTTGTGTGCATTAAACTTAATATTTCATGTGGTAAAACTTTTTTTTTCATAGTACTTTTGGGCGTCTTGCATGGATTAATTTGATTTCAATTATTTCTTATGGGGAGAATTAATTTGCCTTTCGATAATTTTGGCATACGATGAGCTCTCAGGAACAGATTAATATCATATACCGGGGGTCCACTGTACTAACATATTTCTTACTTTAACACCCTCGCCTGATGTTGCTGAGCATGCTTGTATCTGCCATGTACGGTCCCGGATGGTATGAAGCTGAAGGCCTTCTGCTATCTCTGAAGCAGGTGCTGCATTAAACAGGTCTTGCTTATTGGCAAAAATCAACACAGGCACACCTGCAGGAAAACAGAAAAGAGTAAAATTTATCTTATCTTGTGACTGGGAATAGTGACCGTGTTTAAATTTTATTTTTTTTTAAACACTGACCATCTCTCACCAAGGTAGGGTGACCCAAGAGAGGAAATACATACGTCCATTCCCCGTCATTCATTCAATCATTGTCTTGCCACAAATATTCTAACATTACAGTTCAGATAACCCTCCAAACTGTAACATCCCCCACCGCTTACTCAGATGGCAGGACTCAAATCTGGCCAACTAGCTAATTATATCTTTAACCTTTTATTTACTAATTTCTTGTACTAAATTAATTTGCCTTTGTTAGGCAGAACTAATCTTTGACTTGGCTTTATACACATACATCTTTTTATTTACTCATTATCTTTTTCTAAAATCATTTTCCTATTCCAATTTCAAGAGAAAATTGGATCGCTACCTCACTAACTTTGCGAAGTTCCAGAGCAACCAGGCTGTGATAATTATGTTGGCCCATGGACTGCCAACAGCAGCAGCCTGGTTGAACAAGCAAACAGAAAAGCCTGTCCCCACACCAGGAACAGAGTAGAAAAACTTTTGAAACCAGTAACAGGTGCATCACATAGATATGCTTGTTACCCAAGCATCTTAGTGTGTTTTGTTACAAGTTCAATCAACTTTTTTTCTTATCTATGATATATCTAGACTGGAGAGTTCTGTTACATATCTTTGTTTCTTTAACACGCTGGCCATCTTCCACCAAGGCAGGGTGACCCAAATAAACAATTTCATCATCATTCACACTATCACTCTTGCCAGAAGCTTGCAGATACAACAGTTTAGATGTCACTCTAAACAGCAAATATCCCAAATGCCTCCTTTAGAGTGCAAGCACTGTACTTCCCACCTCCAGGTCTCAAGTTAATTACTGTACTTTCATTTTCCTTTCAGTAGTCTTTGTCACTAATGACTTATTTCTGAGCTCATGTTTTTACTTGTCAAATTTACAGATTTTTAAAGTCTTTCCCTTCCAAATATTTTGCTATGCCACAGCATCTGGATAATTTTAATTTGCTGGTATGTAACTTCATTAAAAATTCTTCTACATTTACCAGCTGTTTCTGCACTTCCCTTTTCTCTGCTAATCCTTGATATATTTTTACCAATGCTTCCTCCCGCTTCCTATCGCTTTATGCGATAGACAAGATCCTGGCTCAAGAAGCTCAAGACTACAAATTCCACACATTTTGTCTAACACTGACCAAAAAAAATATACAAGCTTACCACATGTACAAAACGATCACAAAAAAAAAAAAAATGAATCTGGAGAAAATCTACAGAAAAAGTAAAATCCAAAATTCAATAATACTCTAAATACATTACAAAAATCAAGAAAAAAGTTACACTTCTTTACTTATTTTTACCCAAAAATTATGAGCACACACCAGGTAGGCACCAAACAGACATATACCTAAAACAATGCAATTGGTAAAAAAAAAAAAAAAAAAAAAAATTCAATCATAATTCTCCACCCTTTTACTCTCACTCTTCCATCCACTACCAGTCAACCAGTCTGTCTGTCTGGATTTAAATATTCACATTATGAACCTGTGAATACATTTTCCTACTACTCTTTCCTTCCTGACGCTACCCCCAGTCTTGCCCAGTATCCATTTTCTTTTGACTTTGCACAAAACACTCAAATTGAAAACCAACTACATTATGTCTTTCAAATTATGTTCACTGGATTTCCCACAACCAAATCTGTTTTCTTTCTCATATTTATAATGTCACTGTGAATCAGTTTAGTGATACTTAACCCGTAAATGGTCCAAGCAGATCTACGTTCACATGTGTAGTGCTCCAAAAGTAGATCTACGTTTTTTTACATATTTTCATATATAACAAAAAAAAGTAGATCAAAGTTTTTTTTACACATTTTCAAATGTAAAAAAAAAAAAGAAGATCTACTTTTTTTACATACTTTCAAATGTTGAAAAAACGTATATGTACGTTTGGACCGTTTACGGGTTAAGGAGATACAGCATTGTTAAACTGTCATGGCGCTGAGCTTGGGTGATTGCAACAGAGTGAATTTACCTAACATCTACTGTAGTGAATTTCTGGTAGAAATTGGAGGGCTCCATAGAGCAGAATTGCATAACACAATGCAAGAAAAAAAAGTGAAACCAGAAACTGAGGGAAAACCCGTACTGTACACCTTATTTCAGGTTTTATTTTTATTTCCTCAACTTATTCCTCTTGTAGTCACTTTTCCTCTTCTTTTTTTCAAATAACATTCCCTTCACTATTTCTCCATTATTATTATATTTCATTTTCCAATGTATAATTTTCTTGTTTCAATTACATGTGCCTGACTCCACCACTTAACTGTATAATGTCTTTATGTACATATACCTCTTAATACATTACATGAATGAGTTGCAGCCACTTCACAGATTTTCAAGTATCTTGTACATTTCTATCACTTTCAATCCAATGAAATTTGTACAGTGGAACCTCAAAAATCGAACTGCTCCCAACACAACCAATTATGTAAGTGTATTTTTGTAAGTGCTTTTATAAGTGCATTTTTGAGGGTCTGAAATGGACTAATCTAATTTACATTATTCCTGATGGGAATAAATTCATTCGGTAAAGGCACTCAAGCAGCCTTCTGGACCGAAGAAAGTTCAATATTTGAGGTTCCACTGTACTTATACACTCTCGGCAACCATATTTCATCCACAGTTTGCTAGTACAGTAGGCTAAAGTGAGGCTTACCTACACTAGCACTTAAATCTTCTTTCTAACCCTCTTCTTGACTGTATTTCACAATTTATATATTTTTATTAACACATCGGCCGTTGCCCACCAAGGTAGAGTGGCCCGAAAAAGAAAAATTTTCACCATCATTCACCCCATCACTGTCTTGCCAGAGGTGCACCTATACTACAGTTATAAAACTACAACATTAATACCCCTCCTTCAGAGTGCAGGCACTGTACTTCCCATCTCCAGGACTCAAGTCCGGCCTGCCAGTTTCCCTGAATCCCTTCATAAATATTACCCTGCTCACACTCCAACAGCACGTCAAGTCCTAAAAACCGTTTGTCTCCATTCACTCCTATTTAACACACTCATGCATGCTTGCTGGAAGTCCAAGACCCTTGCATACAAAACATCCTTTACCTCTTCCCTCCAACCTTTCCCAGGCTGACTTCTACCCCCACCTTCCCTCCACTATAGATTTATACACTCTCGAAGTCATTCTATTTTGTTCCATCTTCCAAGTCCAAATCGCCTCAACAACCCCTCCTCAGCCCTCTGGATAACAAAACCAGTTTTGGTAATTCCGCACCTCCTAATTTCCAAATTACAAATTCTCTGCATTATATTCACACCACACATTGCCTTCAGACACGACATCTCCACTGCCTCCAGCATTCTCCTTGTTGCAACATTCACCGCCCATGCTTCACACCTGGACAAAGTTCTCTGTCTCCACAGACCCCTCAGTGCACCATTCACCTTTTTTCCCCTCATCAATTCTATGATTCACCTCATCTTTCACAGAACCATCTGCTGACACATCCACCCCTAAATAACTGAATACATTCGCTTCCTCCATACTCTCTCCCTCCAACCTGATATCCAATCTTTCATTACCTAATTTTTTTATCATCTTTATCACTATATTCTTTCCTATATATTTCATAATTTGTCACCAAAAAACAATGGGACACACCTCTTAGTCCCACCAATTAAACTGATGAGTGAAATCCTTTGATTCTTTTGCAGCTCTGCATATGATCTCTTGTCATGATAATCAAGCATGTGATATAATTTCGTATTAGTACTGTATTAGCTAAACATGTATACAGTGGAACCCCGAATATCAGCCGTAATCTGTTCCAAAAGGTCGGCCTAAATTTGAAGCAATATTTCCCAAAAGAATTAACGTAAATACAAGGATGTACATGTAAATACAGTGGACCCCCGCATAACGATCACCTCCAAATGCGACCAATTATGTAAGTGTATTTATGTAAGTGCGTTTGTACGTGTATGTTTGGGGGTCTGAAATGGACTAATCTACTTCACAATATTCCTTATGGGAACAAATTCGGTCAGTACTGGCACCTGAACATACTTCTGGAGTGAAAAAATATCGTTAACCGGGGGTCCACTGTACATGTAAATACAGGATGTACATGTTTATAGAGGGGCAACTGATATATCAGATCATTATTTAGTTGTAGCTACAGTTAGAATAAGAGGTAGATGGGAAAAGAGGAAGGTGGCAACAACAAGTAAGAGGGAGGTGAAAGTGTATAAACTAAGGGAGGAGGAAGTTCAGGCGAGATATAAGCGACTATTGGCAGAAAGGTGGGCTAGAGCAAAGATGAGTAGTGGGGGGGTTGAAGAGGGTTGGAATAGTTTTAAAAATGCAGTATTAGAATGTGGGGCAGAAGTTTGTGGTTATAGGAGGGTGGGGGCAGGAGGAAAGAGGAGTGATTGGTGGAATGATGAAGTAAAGGGTGTGATAAAAGAGAAAAAGGTAGCTTACGAGAGGTTTTTACAAAGCAGAAGTGTTATAAGAAGAGCAGAGTATATGGAGAGTAAAAGAAAGGTGAAGAGAGTGGTGAGAGAGTGCAAAAGGAGAGCAGATGAAAGAGTGGGAGAGGCACTGTCAAGTAATTTTAATGAAAATAAGAAAAAATTTTGGAGTGAGTTAAACAAGTTAAGAAAGCCTAGGGAAAGTATGGATTTGTCCATTAAAAACAGAGTAGGGGAGTTAGTAGATGGGGAGAGGGAGGTATTAGGTAGATGGCGAGAATATTTGAGGAACTTTTAAATGTTGAGGAAGAAAGGGAGGCGGTAATTTCATGCACTGGCCAGGGAGGTATACCATCTTTTAGGAGTGAAGAAGAGCAGAATGTAAGTGTGGTGAGGTACGTGAGGCATTACGTAGAATGAAAGGGGGTAAAGCAGCTGGAACTGATGGGATCATGACAGA